AGGAGCAAATTAAAACTATATCCTGTTAATGTTGCTTAGAGAGTCCGAGATCTGTTTATAGGGGCAGGGGAAAAGCACAAATAGCTATCACCACAGTCCTGGATTTCTTGGGACCTATGTGTGAATTATGTTGAGTGCTAGAACTCTCCAAGAATAACCTGTTATATCATTTTGTAAGATCTGTTTGGCTCTGTTGTCCCGGATAAATGTTCAACTCTCTTTTTACTTCCTCGGATCGAGAGATTGTGCGCTGTGTTGATCAAAACTGTGTGTCCTTTTAAGGCCTTTTCTTTGGCCTACGGGAAAACATTAAACATCACTGTAGCATTCTGAAATTCTCCAAAGAAGAGTCAGCATGACACTCAATGTGAAACAACATGCAACGGAACGTTTATTATTCCATGATTTTTTATTTAAAATTTTTGAGGGGTTATTTTACTATTGGAACTCTAGGATTAGACTCCAAAAGAACAATTGGCAAATGAAAGGTTGCACCCTGAATTTAACACACATCTTTTGAAGGTTAGGATATTGATTTTACTGAACAGTATTGGAGTTTTAAATGCTAAGTCTTAGACTGTTACCTCGGAAATTGATGAAATTTAGACATTATCAGCTGAGATAGATGAAACCAAGCCCAGGGCATTTAGCCAAGACTGTAAGAGACAGAGTAAGAAGGCGCTGTCATTGGTCTCTGGGTTACATCAGTGCTGTTATCAGGATTGACAGGACTGAAGTGGTAAGGCTGCCTCCTACACCCGGCAAAGGGTCAGAGCTGGAGAGGACTCCTTAGTGACTGGGTGTTTGGGGTGCAGTGTGTTAACTGTCTCCCGTGTTAGGAAGCAGACTGTATGAAATCAGGGTGGGAGAGCAGCGTATGTTTTGGCTAATTGTTACCTTCCTACAAGGTAGGATCTAATCCACCTTGTGGGCTTAGACAAGCGTATGTAGGGTATGCCTTTGAAATAGGACAGAGAGAGTAGAGGGGAGGTGGGTAAGAGACTGAGTGATAGATTTTCCTAGAGAATGAGTAGCCTGAATGTTGAGAGAGAGTGACAGACATAGGTCTTTCTCCTCGTGACTGCCTGGGTAGGCCAGAAGGCTATGCACCAGAGTACAGTTCAGAAAAGCCCTTCTCTGGTGGCCGTCACCACATGCCAGTATTCTGTTCTCTGTTCCTTTATTCCCTCACCCTGGGCAAATGAAAGGACAGAATGGACTTCTCTTTCTGGAAGTCCTCTGTGAATATTGATTGCTTAACTAAGTATTTGTTAGCTATTGGGTAGCATTGACTTTAATATAGTACACAATTGTAAAGGACTTGGAATATTACGTTCTTTGGTGTTACTTAAAAAGGGACCACTTGCTTTAAGAGCAGTTGAGCTGATAGACATGTGTTTTATAAAAATTTAAGGCTCTCTTCTCCCCCATTTATGTGTTTCGAGGAAGTTTTTTTTTCTTTGTCATGAACACAGTGTTGTTCAGTGATTTTTTTTTTTTCAGCGAAGTCTTCATACACTCACCTTGCAGAGCTAATTTTCTTTGTACATAATCTCCTTATCTTGTATGTACTCATCTTATGCAAGCAATTATTGTCTCACCACATTGTATTATAATTATATGTCTGTGTCTTCTACCAGGCTGTGAGGTCCTCAAGGTTAGGGACAGGTCTCATTCCTCTTTGTGTTCCCACACTCCCCTAGACCGTGTCTGATATATAAGGAATATAGTGGATGTTCCATAAATGTTGAATGAATGAATGGTATCCCAGAGTCTACCTCCAGAATATTGCCAACCCATGACTAGTATTCTAGTAGCCCTTAAAGCTGGGATACTGTGTTTGTTGGCGAATTCTTGTGGCCTTCTTCCTCTCTGGTTCTGGTGTAGCAGCCTGTTTCATTGTGATCTGACGTGTGCTATGTTTGATAGCTTGTTGATAATGAGTGGTGACAAGTGCCGTCACAACATAGCTGCTTTCGTTCCAATGTCGTATCTTTCCCTCGGTTGAATGTAAGTGGGTTTTACATTTCAAGATCTTGGCTTATGAAACCTGGTGGCTTGTGTTTATTATTTATGTTCTGGGGCATTTATCATTGTCTGACCTCCCTAACCCCTGGTTTCCATTTTGATCAAATGAGATTTGTTCTCGGCAAGATCTGGGTTGATGCTTAGCATAGCTAATGTGCAGTGAGTTGATTGAATAGACTTTGACCGAATCTTGCCGCCTCTTGTTCTTGCTGCAAAACTGTAATTTCTAACTCTTCTCAGGACCTTCACACTGTGTATTTTTTTTCACCTCACAAATGTAATCACTCTCAAAGAAAGAGATTTATTTTTAAAATGTACAGATTATTACTAATGTGAATTTTTTTGATAGGTTAACCAGTCTTTCCTATTACATTTAGTTAAAAATTTCCTTCCTATTTTCTGTAGCTGGCTTTTTTAATGACTGAAAAACATTCTGGAGACAGGAAAGCGCAAAATGAATTGAAGGGGACCTGTCTGTGAAGTTTGTCTTCTTGAGATGATGATGTTAGAAGGAGAAATTTAAAAGCTCCCTTCTAATTTCTACTTCCTACTGGTTTCAGGATGAGACTTAAGAGTAGTAAGAGCAGCGGCTCCTTCCCTTCCCTCCAGTTCTTGTCCCAGGCACTTACTGAGACCCTGTGAGTAAGTGCGTGTGAGGCCTGAAATGAAGGCCCAGTATTACGCGTGCCTTGACATCGGGAAAACTGAGAGACCCTTCCGTCCAGTGTGTTCTCTCGGATAAGGTCCCCTCGCAAACAAGCTTCCCAGACCCCAGCAGGCTGACGGCTTCATTTCAGCCTTGTGCAGCCTGGAGCAAAGAAACCTACTGACCTTCAGAACTCTGAGATAATAAATGGGTGTTGTTGTAAGCCTCCAAGTTTGTGGTAATTTGGTGCACCAGCAACGGAAACCTCATGCAAGCGTTAATGGGTATTTGTGTTTGTTTTCCTTGGTTTTTCTCCTTTGAAAAATCCAGTCGGCAGTCAGACCTTTTTATTTAACGTGAGTGGCAAGAAATAGTCCTCCCCCCCACCCCACCCCTACCCACATACCTGATGTTTCCATTTCATGGAATAATCCACAGCTTTATATATGTGAGGGATGGGTCTGCTCTGTCCAACACACAGCTTAACATTCAAATTGATTTTACTCCACTTGTACGAGCCAGAGTCTGCCTGTGAACCATTATGTTAACTCCAAAGCCATGTCTTTAGTCACTGTGGGCCCCCAAAGCATCTCACTGATAATAGCCTCTGCTTGAAATACCTTTTCTGTTTTAAAAGTGAGTGATTCCAGGCCTTTAAAACATGAGACATTATGAATGCTAGAATAATGAACATTGTATTTTAAGTTGCTACACTCATATATATTGGTTACTTTTTTAAAATTTTTGAATAATTGAAACTGCTATATTTGTGGTAAATAGCGTAGATTATATGTATACGTGAATAGAGTTTAGTGCCATAATAAAATCTTACAATGAAATGACTATGACATACATTCAGTATGAGTAATTGCTATTATACATAATTAGGAATAAAAGGTCAGGGGATTGTATAAAGTATTAAATTACTATTTATGATTACCGTTATTGTTAAATAGAGCATTTCTGCCCTCAGCTGAGGGGAAGGAGAGGGGGAAATGGGCAAGTCAGTTCTCTTAGACGACTCTAGAACATTTCTGCCCTCAGCTGAGGGGAAGGAGCGGGGGAAATGGGCAAGTCAGTTCTCTTAGACGACTCCTGCAGCCCTTGGCTCTGACTTGGGAGGTATGAATGTTCTCACCAGGGCAAACCCAAGAGTGCTGGGAATGAGGCGGCTCAAGGTGGATTATTAGCTCCTACCTTCCTGCCGTGAGAACTGCTCCTTTTTCATTGAGGAACACAAGGAAATGGAAACTGGGTAGCTTGGCCCTTGGGGTCCACAACATTTGGCTAGGACAGTGAGGGAGGGGTTCCCCCTCTGCCCTCCAGGGCACCCCTCTGTCCCTCCAACTGTGTGCTTCTGTGGGAACTTCCAGGGCCTTCTCTGTGCTTCTCCTCCACTGTTCCCACAGATGGAGAGCTGGGGCCAGAGGCTTGCCTCTCCTCTTTCCTTCAATGAGTTTATTTCACAAAGGTGAGGTTTACAAGAAGGCATCTCCCCAGTGCTCAGAATTCTCCCATCATCGCTTGAAATTCTATTCACTACAGATTAATTTAAATTAATAAGCAAGTACTTTAGACTGGCTAAAGGCGGTTATTAAGAATGATCCTCACACCTTAATAATAATCATGCCCCGCATGTACTGCATGAGCCGGGGCTATTCTAAAGACTGTACATGAATTAACTTATTTAATTTGCACGGCCGCCCTATGAGGAAGGTTCAGAGATGTCCAGTCACTTGTCCCAAGTTACTTGATGGTGATGAGGAGAGAGCCCTGACAGAGTCCAGGTGGATCTGCCCTGGGACTCAGCCCCAGCCACTGCACAGAGCTGCTTTTCTGGATCGTCAGTGAGGATTCGATTGAATTTGATTCCTTTCTTCCTAACAGTCTAGCAGCAATCCCTGTAGGGACGAGACTGGAAGGTAAAGGTGAGGATGTTTTAGGGGAGACATGGCTCTAAGGGGAGCCGTGATGGAGGCTTTGGAAGGAGGCTTAAGGAGGGCAGTCATTGTAGTCACTGTTTCTCCACAAGTAGTAAGAAGCTCTCTCACAAGTAACTGGCCTTTATAATCAATACGATGATTCAATGGAGGACCCAGCAAGTATTGCTTCTCTTCTCTGCTCCTCTCCCGACATAGGCACCATTTTTCTCTTTTTACTCTTCGAGCCGCAGGAACCTCTTACGTATGTTTGTGTGTATATATGATACATGAAGTGTTTTACTTATCAAATATTTAAATGTTGTTTAACATTTTGCAAATATTCTTGAAGTAAAGGCCAGTGAAAGCAACTAATTCCTATAATTACCCTTTTCTTTCTCACACAGTATTGGCTGGATCCTGCAAAAACCCTCGCGGAACACAAAGAACTGATCAACAGTATGTATTTCATTTTAACTTTAAGGGGTATCTTGAAAATGATTACAAAGTCCATGATTAGTTGGGTGCAGAAATGGGCTGTGTAGTACTGGAGAGGTGAGTACTAGTACTCGAGTATAAGGGGTGTGGGAATGGGTGTTGTGTGCATTGCCAGGCTCTCTCCAAACTTTGATTAAATTTCAGTTTAAGCAGATTCTGAGAAGATCTTAGTATTGAATTTGTCTTAGGGGTCCTCTTTCCCTTGGTTTTGTCTATGATTTTTCTGTGTGCCTATCTTTAATATTTGACCTTAAAATAGATAAGATAGAGAGGCATTGATTTTGGGGGAAAATGACATCTAA